GTGCCTACAGGATTCCCCAGGGAGCCACTCTGTTTGTAATGTCTGTGCGGTGCATATGGTCTGTGGTTGATGACAGACGTCCGTCGGAGTGACTCCCTGGCTTAGCAGGTGGTGGGAACCAACAGTCTGTGGGGTTCACCCGTGATGTGAGTAGGTGATGTGGCGCTTTGCTCCTTGTTGGAAGTGTAGACTGCCTCGTCTGCGCTCCGCCGCTGCCTTGCTGCCTGTCCCGCTTGCTTCATGTGTCGTTGTTGGCAAGCTGCTGTGTTTGCTGTGTGGTGTGGCGGCGGTGTTGGTGTTGCTTTGTGCTTCGCTACTCTGCTGCCTTGTCGCCCATCCGTGTGCCGTGCCTTCCGCGTCCTTTGCTTGTGTGCGGTGTAGTGTGGCTGCCTTGTTCGTGTTCCCTTGTGCTTCCCTGCGCGGCCATGCTGCTCGTCCGCTTGCCCTGTCGTTCCTTGCAGTGGTCTTTGGCGTTATGCAGTTGGGTTGCTCCGACAGAGTTGCCTGGTGCTTCGCTGAGTTGTCGCCTGCTGCTATGTTCCGTTTGTGGACAGTCTGCCTAAGCCCTCCGAACTCGTCCTACTCAGAGAACCAGTAGAATGACTGCATGAGTCCTTTTATTGTTGCTATCTTCCCCTGCGCTAACCTTGTCTGCTGAAATTTCTGTATCAGTTCCCTGGCTTGCTCTGGGTTTTGGCGTGCTTGCTTTCGCACCTCCTGCCATTGCGCTCGGATGTCCGTTTCGAGCAGGTTGTGGTACATCTGTTTTGCCCCTGCCTGTGCATTGGTCGCTTCCCTATTGTTTGCTGGAATCTTCGCTTCCATATGGCCCAAAGAGCATAGTGCTGTCTTAGCAACTGAAATGCCCGCTTCTGAAATTGCTGCCATGACTCTGGGAGGTCCATACCTAGGAGTACCCTTCTCTTGTCCTCTGAAAAGGATGGTAGAAACTGAGACGGACTCGAAAAATCAAAATAACGAAATTCTTGAATCTTCGCACCCACAACTGTTACAGCGATAGAAGACCTGGAGGTCAACCGAGCAGAATGGGCATGATGGAATCTCGCGGGGGGGACGCTAAAGCTGGCTAGGAGGATTGGCGTAATACATTACACAACAAAGATGAGATACAGGTTAAGAAGAAGATCCTACCCACTTGCGGAGCTGTTGGCCAAACGATGGGAAAAGAAAATGGAAGTACCCTGAGTGCAAGTTGCCCATCTGCCATGGTCAGCACTACAAACCATACGCCTGGGGAGAGTCAGGCGGATGCTATGGTTGATCTTCCACCTCGCCCCGCCGGTCAACACATGGCTCTATGAACGCCACAGCCAGCATCTTAGGGACCCCGCCAACCAAGCATGCGCACAGCACAGAGAGGAAGTGCCGGAGACAGTGACTCACTGCCTTAGCGTCTGATCCCACCTCTTCTCTTTTTCAAAAGAACCAGAGCCAGGCCGCATGGTCTGTGAAATAAATTTTGGATTCCACATAGCCGAAGAGGCAGGGACTTTCACGAACCATGCGGGGCTTTCACAAACCACGGACGAATGGCAGACATGCAAAAAAAAAAAAAAAAAAAAAAGGGCCGCCATCTTTTTAGGGGCGGGGTACGGGTTTGGTGTCTCTCCATTTTCGAAAGAACTACTGCCCCTTGAATTACGCTTGCAGTGCCACGTACGACGGCATTTCGACATCCACAACAAAGCAGGGCTGCTGCCTCCGACTTCCACGGAAACAAGTGGGATCCCGAATTTTCCCTAAAAGTAGCCGTCGTAAAAGAAGTGGGATCTGCGTCTTATTGCCTGTCCAGTAGCGACATACGTGTGGGAGGAAGCCAGGTCCTTGTGGGGTCTTTTTTTTTTTCGGTCTTTCTGTTCTTTGGGACTTGGTATTTTTTTCTGGTTTGCCTGTTTTATGTGGTTGTGTGCCATCTACCCTCCCGCCTCCCCGTGCCCTCCAGCCTTTGTTGTTTGCTGTTGCATGCCGTCATATGCCTTGTTGTCTCATACCTTTGTGTGCCCATCCGCCTCCTCCCTGCCTCCAGTCTATGTCCTTTGCTGCTGCATGTCTTCACATGCCTCGTTGCCTCATGCCTTTCAGTGACTGTCTACCTTTTTCTTTGTTCCCTTGCGTTCATCTGTTTGCCCACCCGCCTCCCTCATGCCCTCCAGCCTATGTGCCTTGCTGCTGCCTGTAGCCCAATGCCTAGTTCCCCCCCCTGCCTTGCCGTTCACTGTCTTTTGCTTTCTGCCTTATTGCCATCAACAATCGATTCCTGAGTTAATTCGCTTTCATGATCTCGGCGGGTGGGTAGGTTGTCGGCAGATTGGATTCCATAATGATTTTCAGAGACATTAATATCTAGAACACTCAGTTTGCGGGTGTTTGCTACCAGCTGAGCTGCGCTGCTAGCGCTAATCTGTGCTGCGGACCGGCCCCGGCTGCACTCCGTGGACTGGCGCAGGGATGGTGATGTTGTGCCATCACTGCGCTTGGTCATCCTGCTGCCCACCTGGTGCTTCGGCAGATTGGATTCCATAATGATCTTCAGAGAGATTAATATCTAGAACACTCAGTTTGGGGGCGTTTGCTACCAGCTGAGCCGCGCTGCTAGCGCTAATCTGCGCTGCGGACCGGCCGGCAAGGCCCGGCCGCACTCCGTGGACTGGCACAGGGATGGTGATGTTGTGCCATCACTGCGCTTGGTCATCCTGCTGCCCGCCCAGTGCTTCAGCCTGGGCGTAGGTGGGCTTTTCCACGTGGCAGTTTTAGGGGACGGCACGTCGGCGTGAAGAAATCAAGCTTTGAGTAAAGACATGGCGCGGTTGTTTGGGGAGCGGCTTCGACAATAGAATAAGATACAATAACAGCAAGACTAACGACAAATAGCGGCCTCATCTATGGCTACATCGACGGCGCAGATGGCGATGGAGGCGGCGTCCATGCAAGATGCTATCGCTGCCGCCGTGCTTGGAGAGGAGGGAGCCGCGCTGGAGATTGTGCGGCTGTATAAGCGACAGATGGAGGAGATCTATACTGCGCTTATCCAGCATCGACACAATCTATAGGCGGATCTTCTCGAGGAGGGTGAGGAGCTGGTCAGTGGTTGGGAGGAGGAGCTCCATGCAGATCTCCCATCTCAAAGGCTGGGCGCGATTGAAAAAGAGCAGGTAATGGCGGAATTGGGTGGTTGTGTTGTAGTGCTGAGGAAAGTGAAGGGAATCTTTGATGAACTTAGGGAGGGGCTGTATGGGAGTGTAAGTCGTGATGATGCGAAAGGGTGCTGCTGCGCGGGACCTGAGGAGGGGCAGGTACTGCGTGCTATGTCGCAGGATCGTTCGTGTGAGGCAGAGGTAGTAATTCGTCGTGGGAGGCTTGAGGAGGGGCAGGGTTCTCGCGGCGAACTGGCGGAGTGTGACAACGACACAAGCACGATCAGCAGTTATGCCAACACCGATTTCAGCACAGATAGCAATGACATCGCCTGCRATTATAACCACAACACCAACGGGCACAACAACGACGACGATAATAAGTGTGTCGATGATGATGGCGGTGACGATTTCCTTAAAGCGGGCAATACTGCTCTCTTTGACACTGTTGCCGATGACAACAATAACAGTACCAATATCAACAAAACCAGCAACAACAACAACAACAACAACAACAACAACAACAACAACAACAACAACAACATCAACAGCAACCTCGACGCAGGGGTCGTGGGCATTGGCAATACTACAACGGTTGAGCACGACACTGGTGCAAGCGTGGAAATCGTGAGTTCGTGCATGCCAAACTACAACAACAATAACAGCAACAACAGCGACGATATTTACAACAACAACAGCAACGACAAAAACAATATCAACAATACTGATAACGACGGTCTGGTAAGCGTGGCAGGGGTCTCTGTTCTCGCCCACCCCTTCTTCTCTTCCCCTCTGTCCTCTCTCTCTTGCAATCGTGTTGACGATCGGGGGGGAGGGGGAAAGGGCTGTTTGAATGGTTCGTTCGGCATATTGGAAGGGCATGGGGGACAGTTGGGGGTGGGATGGGTGCGTGAGGGGGTGGGTTAGTTAGAGGATTCTCTTATSACATCTGCTAGTTGCCACGYGGTGATAGGGMAGCTCTGGCCACGTGCTAACAGAGTATGGGTTCCGCCACGTGGATAGTAGGTTTCTGGCTTTTAGGAAGCCTGCTCTGTATGCCCCTTCTGCTCATGCTGCTCAAT